TTGTTGCATCGACAATCAACGACACAATGCCATCTTAAAATAGTGTTTAGCTAAAATCACACCTTTGGTCCCCACTAAAACCACTGTAACTTAACAGCAGTTCCTTTTACATTGTCTTCAACTTCCGTCAGCGACAACGTTCCAGAGTTTCAGATGCCTTTTCAATAAAGTGTCCATAAACAAACAAGACATATGGTATCATTAACGTCAGTAAGATTCTTTTTTTTATCGTAACGCATATTTTAGTTGACAAAGATTAGATGAGATGTAGCATTTCAAGAATCAGTGGTAAGAAGTTCCATTTGCAATTTTAATAACCTAACATTTCTAGACGCTTAACAACCTGAACTATATGGCTTGAAAATTAAAAATTAAAAAGTTTAAATAACGCAACACGTGAACATCACGAAAATATCGTAAGCAAAGAATAACCCAAAAGAAGTCCAATAACTGCAGCAAGCACTACAGTCATACTCTCTAATCAGAGCAATAAAAGTAACAACCTTTAATGTTTACACAAGCCAGAACTCAGCCAAGTTTTTTTTTTTTTCTTTTGCAATCACTAAAAATCTCATAAAACAAATCATATCCCGCACAACAACATATACATACTGAATTCACTAAAATAAAATAAACGCGAACCAGCCGCTAGGCCTAACTTACGAAAAATTTTCTTGTCGTCTAGAATGACAATGAAAAACAAATCAGTGTGGAACTCAAGCCGTAAAAAAGCAGCCTGAATTGAAAAAATTTTACTCCTTCCGACTACATAGTAAAATTTCTAGTCTATGACTGCTAAACAAAATTAAAGTTTAAGATTCTAAGTTACTCCGTTCATTACGACTAAACTAACTCAAAGTCACACAGACACACACACACACACACACACTACAAAACAGGAAAGTAACGACAAGAAAGCAGCCATCTAGTTTTTGCTTCAATTTTCACCAATGACCAAGCAAGTCAGACGACCCATAAAAGCAGATAAATTTAAAACATTAAAGCTTGTAAAGAATCTTCTCATTGCATTCTGCAGAAAACATGAAAACGACAGCAAAAACCAAAACCAACGTCTGACTTTGATTTTAAGAACGCATAAAAGAACCCGTCTTGAACGCCAAGGAAAAATAAGTGTGCTCAAAATGCTCAAAATGATAGCACAAGCTTCCAAAAGTCTGTGCCGCTGAGAGCAGCTGAACGAGATTTATAAAGCCAGTACAGCATGAATAAACGTTATTACAATAAAAAAAGTTCAAAGTAAGACATAATAACTTCAAAGAAGAGGAAAGTCTTTTAAAAGAACTGTAGAGAACCACTGTCCAAATTGTGATTAAGTAATATACAACACTTAAAAAAATCAGTCTGACGAAGATAACGCACGATCAGCTTCTTCTTCAACCTCCTCACCTTTTTCAACAGCAATCTGATCCTCGCTGACTTCAGAATCACTTGA